GGCGAGGATTTCAATAATACATCCATCTAATGGGATAAATGTATCTAATGGAATGGAAATAACTCGTAAATAAAGGTGGACTTCAATAGCCCTTCAGGTTTCCTCTCCCGATATAACTCTTTTTCTTAGAAATTCTAAATTGTCCATTCCTAACTTACATTAATCAATCTCCTTACCTTCGATCCAGCAGGCAGATGCAAATCCGACCGTCGATCTAAGCTAGCTGACTGTTTTGCTCCTAGATGAGATGGCCGACTAAGGTGGTTTTGCGGATCGATAGAGGACAACGTAGAGGGAGAGCTCAAAATGGTTGACATGTCCGGAGAATGTTGCAATGACATTGTTCTAACTACAACCGGACTTCGGAGTTCAGAGCGGAGCAACGACGGTGGAGTGGAGGGACCTGAAGTGAAGTAGTTGTTGATATCATACTACGTACCTTATTCAGAATTTGTATTTTTCTCAAAACTTAGAAAACCAGAACAGACCAGAGAACTTCCTTACAACTTCGAGGATATCGTTTTAATAAGCCTGCAGATTACTTAAGACAGCTGTATACAGCGGTTCAATTCAAAATCCGCTGTTTGAATGAAGGATAACTCATTAAAACAATATGGAACTATTAACTCTTTTTACATCTATATGGAAGAAAGTATAACTAAATATTTTGAACTCATTGAGCTATTATATAGGGAGCATGCAGAAAAACTACAAAAACTGCCTTCTGAGCTGAGAATCGCATCACTTAACAAACTCTATTGATCTTTCACACTTACCAGCTCCAATTCCAAGAGGAGTAGGTGGTCCAAGAGGAGTAACAGTACCCCCACTGAGTGTAGAAGCAACAGCTGCTAATGGGCTTTGAGCTGCCGCCGCTAGTGGACTATCTAGCCACCATGGACGAGATGGAGTTGGTGGAGGACAACCCATTGATAACTAAACGAAGCATTTAAAAGGAGATACAATATAGCTTTTGGACCTCTTTCATTCCAACTAACTGATGATCCCGGCAATATATTCGGAGGCGATTGTAGGAATTGAGGCACATATTCGAGGGTGTTTGACACATCTTGATTGCCAAGCTGTGCAAAAAAAAAGTTCTGATTTCATAAGTACTACGTAAACGCACAATTTGAATCGAAAAATAATTAATGTAGAAAGATGGTATACATTTTCTAAACATTAGGTCAATAGATAATTGTAACAACTGAAATCCCTCTTTAAAAGATTCTTTCTAGAATTTATGGAGATATGGATTCTGATCCTTTCACTAAAATTAAGCATATTTGAAAAAGGTTGTTTTGGAGCTTAGAACAGCACCCACAATGAAAAATAAAAGGACGAAAACAAAATGTTTTGATACTGAATATATTCCGTAAACTCATCACTAGAAGGCAAATCAATATTGTACCCTACCAAAAAATTTCCCTTCCAATGCACTCCGCTGCGTTGAGTATGAGGAACAGTTGGGACCGAGTTGTACACGGAAGCTGTCGAGTACTGTGGTTGTGCTGCATGCGCCGATGACATCATGAGCATTTGTGAAGTGATTGATGAAGATTGCCGTGTCGGCATTTGCATAGACGATGGAGTTTGGTTACTGGAGAGTGATGGATAAGATAGTTGAACAATTTCAGTGATTTTAAGAAATAAAATAAAAAACTTCTACCTATAGTCTACCAACATGCTGGCCACAGCATAATCTTGTGCTTGCCTAGGAACGGACGATGAGCCACGATTTCCAATAAGAACTGGACGTTGTTGTTGTTGTTGT